AGGACTCAGCAGCTGCCAAGGGTAGTTTATGGCGATGGAAAACCGACAGGAGGGATTTTTGTCTGGAAAAAAAAACACAAGAAAAAATGACCTTTAGCTATGATAAATTATTATCTTTTAATCACCCGCCTGCCTCGTTTCAAAAACCAGCACTGTGGGTTTTAGCAGAGAGGCCTGCACCCAAGGCGCCAGACTGCAGCCTTGAGGTCTGAACCCCACTTCTGCCTGCGCCCAAAAGCCACCTATCCAGGCTGGCGGTGGCCCCGGCCCCATTCCGTCCCAGCTCTCCCCGGCTCCCCAGCCTGGCGGGTCCAGCGCCCGCATTCTGCCCGGCACCGGGCTGGCGCTGGTGGGAAGGTATGCGCCCCGGGCGGGCGCTCCAGCCCTCACCTCGGTGCCATCCTCCCGGGCAGGTCCCGCAGAGCTGGCGTCCCTGCAGGCAGCTGGCTCCGCCGAGAAGCGTGAGAAGCATCAGCAGTTTGGAGGAGAAAGTGCGGGCTGATCATTGACCCACGCCTTCTTTCTTCCGCCGCCTCGGCGGACGGGACCGTGTGAAGAGAAAATGCCGCCGAGCGGATTTTTGTGGCCGCGCTCCCTCCTACGCCGCCCGCTCCCCTTTCAGGCGGAGGGCCGCCTGGGCCATACGGAGCGGTGTTTGCTGTTTACAGCGTTGGGGCGCCGGCCATAAATCTTGCCCCGCCATAAATGACAAAAACCATTGGTATGCAGGAGGCCACCGGCCACGGTGCTTTTTGATTTCTCCCTTCTCCCCTGGCTTTGTTTCTGCTCTAAGGTGACACTCCGGCTCCCTGACAGTTTAAACACACTACTTATATTTTTAACACCTCCCTTTGAGGAGCGCCGGCCGCTGACACCTCAGCATCGCACCAAAGCGCCACTTGTCCCTGTTTGTCGCGCACACACCCTGGCAGGGTTCACTCCTGCATCCGGGGAGCTGAGCGAGGCGACAGGAGGGAGGAAGACTGTCCTCCTCAAAGTTGTGGGAATATTGGGGCACATCCAGGCCTGTCCTCTGCTCAGCTTCCCCATGTACCACTAACGGGGGGGGGGGGTGGCTGTTGGGGTCAGAGCTTTATCAGTCCTACGGTGAGTGACCTGCATGTTCGTCCTGTGACCCCGCACAAAAGAGCTGGAGGCCCAGGTTTCTGGAACCTTGTGTGTACCTGAGCCTGGGGTTTCCCATCCACTCCCCAATCTCCCAGCTCCTCTCCCCGCTGCCCGGATCTCTAGAAACACAACCACAGGCAGCCCTGTAGGCTCTGGGGGAGGTCTCCCGAGAAAGGAGGCCCTATCCGGGCCCCCCAAAGACTGGCTTTGTGGGTCTTGGATTAGGGGTGGCAGGTGAGGGCAGCGGCCCCAAGTCTGGGGACCTCTCTCTGGTTCCTGTTCCCCTCGCCCCCCCCACTGGGCGCGTCTGGGGCAGAGGGTGACCCGGTTTCACAAACGCCTTCCTAAGAAATAGAGCCCGGCGGAGCCCCCCTTTGTGAGAGCCCGGTGTCCTCATTAGCATAATTTTCCTGGACTTCGGTGACGCCGGGGAGCGGGGAGAGGGAGGGCGTGGGGTTTGGGGGGAGGCCGCCCTCCTCCCGCCGCCCCCGCGCTCCCCACCTCGCTCCTGGCCCTCCCCTCGCCCAGCCCCATCCCCCACGGCGGCCTAGCCGCCTCGGCCTCCCCTCCCGCCCGCCCCCAAACCCCCCCCCCCGCACCCCCAACCAGCCTGCTCCGCGTGCAATATTCATAAGAAACATACCCGAGCCGGTGCCACTGCCCAGGCGGAGCCCCGCGGCGGGCGCTTATCTCCGGGCCACGGCTGCCGCCCTCGGGAAGGGCAGGGGGCGGGGGTTGGGGGAGGGGAGGGTGGGTGGGGTGGGTGGGAGGGGGGGTCCGAGCCGCCCCAGTCCGCCCTGGGCGAGCGGTGCCGGAGCAGCCAGGCGGCCGCGCTCCGCGCCTGGGCGCCCGGGCCTCGGGGTGTCCCTCCCGCCCGCCGTGCCGGCTGATGCCGAGGGTCCGAGCCCGTCCCGCGCCGAGGGGACCGGCGGGCCGGGGCCGGGGCCGGAGCCCGCGCCCAGCCTGCGCCCGCGGCGCTGGGCAGAAGTTAAGGTAAGCGGGGCCGCCGGCTCCCGGCGCTGAATGGCGGGGCTTACGTCTCGGTGATTTATGGCCGCAGACTTAAATCTCGGTTCAAGAAGAGTTCACAAGCCGGAGCTTCCTTCCCGGCAGTGACTGATCCCCTTACACTTCGAGTTCAGGCCGCGCTCCCGTCCCCGCCCCCACCGCCCGCGCCCCTGCCCGGCCGCCGCTTCCCGGGCTGGGGAGGGAGGCGCGGGGGGCCCGGGGAGCCGGGGGCGCTGGGCCCGCGATCCCAGCGAAACTCGGGGTGAGGCCGGCCGAGGAAGGGGCGGGAGGGGACAGAGGGAGCGGGGTCTGAAGGCGAGAGGTTGCAATTTGGGCAGATCTTCCAGGGAGACAATGGGGCTGGCTGCCCGCACTCAACTTAGCGCTGGGCGCTCGCACCTGGGGGTGACAAACAGATCTCCCCGGAGGAACCTCCCCCCGCCCCAGACCGCGTCTGGGGGTGCGAGGCAAAGTTTCCTGGCTGGCAGTCCGCCAACTTCTTCACTGGGTTGTAAACTTCGGGGGCCGGGCTGGGGGTGGCGGGCGGTGTGGGCCCCGGCTGGGTATCTGCTGACCGTAAACAATAGGAAGCGCCCTAGTGGGGTCTGGGAGGCGAACCCACGTTTTAAGTTTATGTGGGCTGTTGATTGCTCTTTGATTTTTAAAAGGTATTTTTGTTATTTTACAACTTGACAAAAAGACTTAGGTAAACAGCAGGCTGGTGGAGCTGATGATAATGGGTTAGCAATTCACTTGAAATAGTGCACATTCAACATCAACTTAATTTTGTTTTATCTAATATCTTGCTGTTCAAGTGTCTGGAGTAATTTTCTTAACCTGACGTTTTATTTTACACAAGCCTAGTATCTTAAAAATTTATGACGGCAGACATTAACACTGCCAAATGTAATAGGAACTGTTTTCGGTGAAGGAGCAGGAACCAGACATTAAAGGCCATTCGGTTTTAAATTTTATTTTATCATTTATTTACTTTTGATTATGGTATCTGTAGCCTTCCATCTCCAAAAGAGAAACAATACTCCAGGGCTCAAGATCACGCACAATAACTCTGGATAAGGGATGCTGTAATTTTTAATTGAGGTTCTGGAAAATTAATTGTGCTTGTTTTCCAGATGTTGGTGCGATTGTTGGGTTAATAATGGAATTCAAAGGAGTTCGTTATTAAAGACAAAATTACAGTGTAATCATCCACTGGTAGATGCTTATTACATTATTTCTTTCTGGTTAACAAAGTGTCTGCTATTCCTGGAAAACTTGAATAACTTCAGGACTCAGATACACAAAGTTGGGGCTGTGAAGTGCAAACCATTTTCTTCATGAATTTGTCACTGTAATTTTCTTAAATGGTCGGACACTAACATTCTGAGTGTGTCGGAGTGTGACTGTGAATATATGAACTCACATGGAACTTTTCTGAGCAGAACCCGAGGTTGACCATGCAAAGGTTGGGGGAGGGGGGAGATTTCACTTCTGCAAACTGCTTTCTAAAACACAACACAAAACAAAACAAAACAAAAAGCTTGAGGAGGCTTTCCATTGCTTTTTAGATTTCCAGGGTTGCCCTTTGCTTGGTGTTTCTGAAGCAGGTAAATAGGCCAAGTAACAAACATCAACAACCACAGCACAGAAAGATCAGGGAACTCTGGCAGGGTTTTATGGCTTGTGCTTCCATCTCGTCCAGAGCCAAATGACCCCCATACATCAAATTGCATAGCAGTTCCTAAGACAGAGCCTATTATCGTTAAGTTGGAAGGAGAGTTCAAGCCGTGGTCATGGAGATGAACGCTGGTTTTCCAGGTTCCTGGTGGGTTGTTTTTTTCTCTAATCCATCATGTTTTAACAGGTAGAATTTGATAGTTGCCTGAATAACAGCACCTCAGAAAACCCAAGGCAGGAGGGTCTGGGACCTTTTTCTGCAGCGGAGAAGAGGTGGGAGTGGCTTGCTGAGACATGCCTGAGAACTAGGAAAAGGAGAGGAGTAAGGAGTAGAAAGCTGTCCAGGATCTGAGTTGGATTTGCTGGAATGGGTGTTGGTGGTGGTCCCTCCGCACCCAGGATGTCCCATCTAAAGTTCCCTCTCTCCCCTTCTCAGCCACAAAGGGCTCGTTTGGAGGCGGCCCACATCCCTGGAATTCAGTAGGGTCGCGAGTAGGGCAATTACCTGAACATTTTCTGTGCGTACCTTCCTTTTGGTTCTGGAACATCAGAAAAGGGGGTGGATGGGATATTACTCCCTGTCGGGGCTCTTTGGCAAATGCAAGGGCAAAGCGAGAATCGGAGAGAGAAAAAAATTGGCGACTCCCCTTTGCCTCCTTGCCCCTTCTCCAAAATTTCCAGAGGGAGGGGGACCTGGGGCTCGCTGGAGGAGGGGCCGGAGCAGAGAGGAAGGGACACCCTGAATTTCTTGGGAAAGAAGGATCCCAGCTCCGTTCCTCTCTAGCCCACCAGGCCTCTCTTCTTTTTGGACTCCAGCTCGCAGCCCTCACTCGCGCTCCTCCTCTCTCCCCGGAAAACCCCCCAACTCCAGACGCAAGTTAAGCAAATATTTGTAGCCGCCAGTAAATTCCAGCGGCTTTTTATAGCGCGGCTCTCTGCGCCCGGGGCCAAGTCGTGCAGCTAAATATTGCTGACCACTTTTTCTTTTATGGCTTTCATGTCACTTAGCTATTGAGAGTAAGATGGATCTGCGCGGAGCCCTCACCGCGCGCTTCTCACCCCCCCAGGTCTGCGCGGGGCGGCCATTGGCGGCGGAGCGTCACGTGACCGCGGGGGCGTGCCAATGTGCGCCCTCACGGGTGTCCAGCCCCCGTCAGAGTGTGTGATCGGGACCGGGAAGCACCGCGATGCAAAAAGCGACCTACTACGACAGCTCCGCGATCTACGGTGGCTACCCCTACCAGGCCGCCAACGGGTTCGCTTACAATGCCAGCCAGCAGCCCTACTCCGCGGCCCTGGGCGCCGAGGGCGAGTACCACCGGCCCGCCTGTTCGCTCCAATCACCCGCCAGCGCCGGGGGCCACCCTAAGGCGCACGAGCTGAGCGAGGCATGTCTGCACACCCTGAGCGGGCCCCCGCCCAGCCAGCCCCCAGGCCTGGGCGAGTCCCCCCTGGCCCCGCCACCGCCCCAGGCTGCGCCCCCTGCCCCCCAGCAGCCTCAGCCACCTCAGCAGCCCCCCGCGCCAGCTCCCGCCGTGCCCCCAGCCCCGTCGTCAGTCTCCCCGCCTCAGAATGCCAGCAGCAACCCCACCCCTGCCAGTGCGGCCAAGAGCCCCCTACTCAACTCGCCCACCGTGGCCAAACAGATCTTCCCCTGGATGAAGGAGTCCCGGCAGAACACAAAGCAGAAAACCAGCGGCTCCAGCTCAGGTAAAGGGGTGCCCTCTGGCCTGGCTCCAGGTTCCCCGCCAGCTCCAGGCACAGCCAGCACCGTGTCTGCGCTGCAACGTTTCCAAGGACCCCTTGCTCCCCCTCCCTATCCTACACAGGTTTCCAGAGTCTTGCAATTAGGGAGGTGTCAGGACTGTGTGCACAGGAACCCCCAGAGAGGCCTAATGGAAGTCTCTGGACTTCTCCAAGAGCGAGGGGCCTAGTGAGCTCGGAGTCACTTCTGCTCTTGGAGTCAGGACCTTTTGTGCAGAGCAAACACGAGCTCCACTTCCCTTTTCACACAATTCTTCATCTGTAGTGCAATATTGACACCCACCCCACACCGAGATGTGTCAGAGTAAAAGCAGGTCTAATCACCCACCAATTCAGAATCAATACTTTGCTTATAATCAGCCTATTTTTAACGTTTGCTCCAGCAGATGGAGCGGCTGCCTTGCCTCTGGGAAGGCCTGCTCAGCGTTAGCACAGTGGAGGCAGCCAGGGTCTCCTCCGGGAGGGGATTCAGGCTTGTCATCCTAATGGGAACCACATGGGCTTCCTGGAATCCGACTCCAGTGGATGATAGGCCCGAGGCCTTGGGGCTTCCCAGGATCCCGGTTACCTTTGCCCCTGCCTTCTCCAGTTGCCAGGGCTCTGTTCCGAGAATCTGGGGCCTTCCTGCACTAGGACTTGGGGGCCAGGGAGGACACAGGATTAGTAAACAAAGCGGGGCAGGCTGCTCGATGACAGAGAAACCTCATTAACAGGACCCAGCATCAGGGCCTGGGCCTCGCCACCAGAAAGGGAGACTGTCGATGGTTCTCTTCCTTTGAGCAGAGAAGGCTTCCGATTGGGGCTCCTGCTCCACCCATCTCCACTGGGGAAATTAGGCGTCCAGTTGAGGCAAGTGTCCAATCTCCCAGACAGACAGTGAGTGAAGGAAATGGTTGTTGAGCGTAAGTTAGGTGGCCCACATTCCAGTCAGGATGGAGGAGGGAATGACGGTGGTGAGGCCTGCCCACAGGGAGCTTGCAGTCTCACAGGCCTGCAGGACCAGGAGCCAGAAAGTGGACAGCTCAGGAAGGAAACACAGACCAGGAGGGCAAACTGGGGGCTCTGCTTTTCTGCCCATTGGAGGAGCCTATGATTTGCAACTTGACTGAATGAGGGGCTGCCTACCAGCAATTTCCCACCGGGACGGAGGAGGCACGCACTTCCTCCTCTCCCTCTCTGGGCCTGACAAGCAGAGGGCACCTTGGGGTTTGTAGCAAGGAGGGGCCTGGTTGGGGAGCAGCCCCTGACACCCCTCTTCCTGTCTTCTGTCCTGGCAGGGGAGAGCTGCGCAGGCGACAAGAGTCCGCCTGGGCAGGCGTCCTCCAAGCGGGCCCGCACGGCCTACACCAGCGCGCAGCTGGTGGAGCTGGAGAAGGAGTTCCACTTCAACCGCTACCTGTGCCGGCCACGCCGCGTGGAGATGGCCAACCTGCTGAACCTCACCGAGCGCCAGATCAAGATCTGGTTCCAGAACCGCCGCATGAAGTACAAGAAGGACCAGAAGGGCAAGGGCATGCTGACGTCATCAGGGGGCCAGTCCCCCAGTCGCAGCCCCGTGCCTCCCGGCGCTGGCGGTTACCTGAACTCCATGCATTCGCTGGTCAACAGTGTCCCCTACGAGCCCCAGTCGCCCACGCCTTTCTCCAAGCCCCCCCAAGGCACCTACGGGCTGCCCCCTGCCTCCTACCCCGCCCCTCTGCCCAGCTGCGCGCCCCCGCCGCCCCCCCAGAAGCGCTACCCAGCCGCAGGGGCCGGCGCAGGGGGCACACCCGACTATGACCCGCACGGGCACGGCCTGCAGGGCAGCAGCAGCTATGGGACCCCACACTTACAGGGAAGCCCCGTCTTCGTGGGGGGCAGCTATGTGGAGCCCATGAGCAACTCTGGGCCGGCCCTCTTCGGCCTCACTCACCTCCCCCACGCCGCCTCCGCCGCCATGGACTACGGGGGCGCAGGGCCGCTGGGCAGCGGCCACCACCACGGGCCTGGGCCGGGGGAGCCGCACCCCACCTACACGGACCTTACCGCCCACCATCCTTCTCAGGGAAGAATTCAGGAAGCCCCCAAGCTCACCCACCTGTGATGGTGGCCTCGGGGCTGCGCGCCAGGAGAGTCCCCCCACCCCACCCCCACCCTTTTTTTCTTCGTTGGCTTTTTTTTTGTTTTGTTTTGTCTTAAGGTTCTCCCTGCACCTCCCTTTTCTCTCTCCTCCGCCCCCTTCCAATCCCCTCCCCCCCCCGTTTTGTTTTCTTTGGTAACGCGTTTTTATAGTTTATGTGACGTAGCAATCTTGGTTGCTGGAATGGCTGTCAGTATCAGTAGCGATATTTATCTCCTCCTCCCGCCCCAGCTCGGCCGCTGGCCTGCACCCTTCACCTTCTCTTCTCTTTGATCAGAAACAGGGTATATGAACAAATTTCCTAGCCGAGTTCTTCAATGTGAATTTGTTCGTACATTATGGCTCCCGAGGGGAAGCGATTACTTTTTCTTTTTAATTTTAGTTTTTTTTTTTTTTATTGCACTTCTTGTAAAAAGCGAGAAAAAAAAATCAAAGGCGCTTTGAAACAGGGGCTCCCTGTGTAAGGATGACTAAGTGTACGTCTTTCCGTGTGTGTATGCTGGTGAACAGTCAGATTTATTTATATTTTTTTTGCAAGCATTGAATAATCTAAGTTTTAAATATTATTTATCCCCATCCGTTCGTATTTATATTAAAGATTCTGTACCCTGGTTGTTCAGAAGGTTTCGTGGGCCTTTTGTTCAATGGTGCATTGGCGTACATAGGAAATTTTTTATTTGAAAGGGAAATGTAATTTCTTTATAAAAAAAACAATGGTAATGATGCAATAATACCAGAGAGGATCCAGCTTTCGAAAAAACAGCGATTTCCGTTTGTAACATCCGGCGAAACCGAAGCAAACAATCTGTAAACGCGACAAATGCTAGATTTGTTTGGAGAGTTCTACATTCCTTGCTGCTCACACTCTGAGAAACAGAACAAAAAAAATTAAATAAAGTTTTTATTCTGAATAATATCCGCGTTCGGAAGGGGTTCTTTGGCCGAAGATGGGGTTCCAGGCGGAGGCGGCTGGCAGAGCAGGTCTGGCCCTCCCTGCAGCCGACAGGCCTTCCTGCAGCCGGGGCCTCCCTGCAGCCGACAGGCCTTCCTGCAGCCGGGGCCTCCCTGCAGCCGACAGGCCTTCCTGCAGCCGGGGCCTCCCTGCAGCCGACAGGCCTTCCTGCAGCCGGGGCCTCCCTGCAGCCGGGGCCTCCCTGCAGCCGGGGCCTCCCTGCAGCCCACAGGCCTCCCTGCAGCCGGGCCGGCCGGGAGCGGCGATCCTCGGCGGCGGCGGCGGCGGCTGCGGAGACGCGATGGGCCAGCCCGCTGCGCCGCCTGGTTCCCAGCTGCCGGCGGCGGGCTGGCTGCGGAGAGCCGGTGCGGGAGGAACAAAGGCGGCTGCCCTGGCTCGGCGGGGGGCGCACAGGTGGGCAGCGCCGCCGGGGACCAGGCGGGCTGTCTTCCTGGCCATGACCATCCTCCATCCTCCGACAAAGCGGACCAGCTACCGCCTTAACCTGGGACATCGCCACCGCAGAGGATGCCGACCGACCGCTGTGGGCGGCAGCCGGCCTCTCCACGGATGCTCCGCGGCCCGTTATCCGGAGGAGGGAGGACAGAAGCACTTCTAAATCTGCCACGGGGAGCGAGGCGGCTAGGAGGAGGCTGAGAGCTCGCCCACGTCTCCATCACCAGAGGGGCTGGGCCCTGCCCTGGACTACCAGAGCCCAGCACTGGCTTCCTCTCGGAATTTAGGATTTGGCATTCTCTGGATTTATTTCCTCTCCTTCTTCCCTCCCTGCTTTTTTTTTTTTTTAATGGCCTCAGGGGGAGGGGGAGAGAGAAAGGAGATTAATATCTTTCTAATAAAAATGCATTTTTAAGTACTTCTTCCATTTGATGCTACAGGAGCTAAACACCCCATTTCTATTCCTGGGCTGCCTGCTGGCTGGCTGGCAGAGGCAGAGAGAGGCACAGGACAGGGAAGCGTTTTTCGTCTTCAGATTAAAGAACTGCTCAGAGATGGAACCAGATTCAGAAAGCGCAAACCTCAGAACATCATCCCCATCCGCATCCCACCTCAGAGCTGGAAGCGAGGAACCACCTGCATCGGGCTCAGGAGCATCTGCCGTGAGAAAGAAATCCCCCTTCTCCTGGGATTCTATGTGTCTGAGGCAGAGGTGGGAAATGTCGCCATTTTGTTTGCAATCCAAAATATCCATCTTCTGGCCTCTCTCTTCCCCCTGAGAAGCTCCCTCAGATGGTCTGCGGAGACAGGCACTGGAGCCACGGCTGGGTACCTGCAGGCCTGCAGGAGCCACTTTGAGGAGACCTCCTCGTGGTTTTTAAGAAAAAGAAAAGGGTTCGGAAGATGCAAACCTGGGCAGCTGCAAAGATCTGGGCGTTTCTCTCACAGCCAGAGGTGCTTTCCCCTCATCTGTCCTGGGCTTCCTGAATATATCTATATCTATCTATATATCTATATATATACACTTTCTAAAGAATTTATGGAAGAAGTGGATTAGCACTCGGCCTCACGCCCACCTCTGCTGAAATGTGGCAAATCTCAGAAACATGGAGGCCGGAAAAGCAGTCTTTGTGAGGACTGGAGCTTCTGCCCTTCTGGTGGTTCATATCTAAACTAAGCAGGATGAGCAGCTGCAGGAATCCTCTTTTAAGTAATAATTTAAGAGAAGCGCATAAAATTAAAATTACCTGGGAAAGCAAGGAACAGTGTGAAGAGAGGGGGAGGGAGGGAGGAAAGAAGGAGAGGGAGGGGAGAGAGAGAGAGAGAGAGAGAGAGAGAGAGAGAGAGAGAGAGAGAGAGAGATATCCTCAGAGAGGAGCAGTGTTCGGACATACCATCATTGGAACCCATTTCTAAAACCTCCTCTCTAGCTGAGGGAGGACTGGTGTGGAGGCTTCCCCCTGTCCCCAGGGCAGAGATTTTTAAATGAGTCTCCAATATGATTTTCCACCTCTTGCCAGAGACCTTCATTGTGGCTTTCAAAGAAAAAATATCGATCTCACTCTGAGCTTCCTAGATATTAAAAAGAAATCCTTATTAAAATAGCTCCTGAGGTAAGTAATAGATTTGGAGAGGATTCCTGTGTTGAATGGCCAGAGAAAAGGCTTTTCCTCCAGATGGTGTTTGAATTGAGGCCGCTGAGGCAGCAGAAACCTCTCACCCACGCAGCCCCTGACAAAGCCTGGGGATGTGGGAGCAGCTACGCTCCCTCTCGGAGCTCCCCTCCCCTGAAGTCCTCAGTATTTTCTGGTAAAAAGCAAACGCCAAAAGCTGCCACCCCAGAGCCCCGAAAAGCACTTTCCTAAAAACAGCCTTATGACTCCTTCCTCTGCCAAAAAAATATCTTTTTAAAAGACTAGTTTTCCTTGTTTACTTGCGTTTCCTGCTCTCCTCTTTGCCGGGCCACATTTGATCTTGGAAAGAGCTCGAAGCTGAAATGTGTTCTTAAGGGCCAGAAGCTGTCAAGGCTTTTGGTGAGCAAGATTGATCGCACCCAGACTTCCTTCAGAGCTTTGTTTGGAATAAAAGCAAGAAAACTGAAAAACCTCACATTTTCCAAAATTGCATCTCTATCTGTAAGGCCGTGCTCTGGGCTAGCCGGCGACGGAGGGCACTTTATATCAATTTCCAGCCCAAACCCCCTTTGATGCTGGCCTCCGAGGTGGAATCCTCTCCCTGCGCCTCGCTCGCTCGGCCTTGCTTGTTTTCTGCACAGGCTTTCTCTCCGCCAGCCCCTCTCCCCAGCCATCAGAATGATTTATTTTCCTGCCACTGTGCCTGGGGGAGTCTGATCACTTGGTCCATTTCAAAGGAAGCCAAGGTGGTTCCTCCTCCTCAGGGTTTGGGGGGGAAAGAGATACCCTCAAATCTCCCTTCAGCCCCCTCCCTTCTTTCTGGCTTGGTGGATTTCTAAAAAGTTATTGCTTGGTACCTAAAGGTGTTGTCTTTTGAACCCTCCAGCACAGTCCAAGATGCTCTCAGACTCACATCTCGGAGTTGGGGGAGAAAAGAGAGAGAATGAACAGAGAAAGAGGACCTGTGTAATGCCTCCGTGGGTCGCCCTGTCTCACCTGCGGTGCTGTTTCCCCGCAACAGAACTGGAGAGCAAACATCCCTGGTGGCCAAGGAGCGGAGACAATTCCACTCACACCTTCTGCACCCACAAGCTCCCCATCAGAGCGACCCGAAGGGAAGGAGAAGGAAGGAAGGAAGAAAAAAAGAAGAGAAAGGAAGAAAGAAAAGAAACAATTGCCTTCTCCCTCCCTGCTGCTAACTTCCCACAGACTTCCTGGAAATACTCACCGCACCCGAGCCCCGCGGGTGTGAAACCCAGAATGCCAGGAGCCACGTCTCTGGCTGCCCGCCGCCCTGGCTACAGGGACTTGAACACATGGACCTGGGGCTGCTGTCTGGCTTGGCACATGCCTCTATCTCTCCAGCCACTCCTGAGAAGTTGATGGCGCGGGAAGGTCTTCCGCTTCCCTCCGGAGCCAGGCACAGAGCGGCTGCGAAGGAGCCAGGAACAATGGGCCCGGCTGGGTCTGGGGGCGCGGGACGCCGGGCTGAGCTTTTGGGGGGGGGGCGAGGGCCTGCGAGGGTGGGGAGGAGAGGAGAAGTGGACAGAGGAAAGAGAGGGAGGGGGGAAGGGGGATAAAGGGGGAAGAGGAAAAGAAGGGAAGATAGGAAGAAAGACCAGGGCAGAGAGGAGATCAGTTTTGAGATCCAGGAAACGGTTTGGGAAAAGGCGGAGTAAAAGGGAAATAAAAGAGGGGGGACCCCCAAACGAATCTCTCTGAATATTTGTCTCTGAATCTCTCTCTCTCTCTCTCTCTCTCTCTCTCTCTCTCTCTCTCTCTCTCTCTCTCTTTCTCTCATCTCCTCTCCCTCTGCTCCTTCCTCCTGCCTTTGCACAACTTATGTGGCTGGGATGGGGGCCCTCGGGTGTCAAAACTTTGGAGATTAATGGATTACTTTGTTAATGACTGCAGGCGTCAGACTGAGGCGCTTACATGATTTGTGAGGTGCGAGGCGTCTTCCCGGCAGCCCGAACAATGCGGGCGCGGGGAGGCCGGGCGGCGGGCCGCGGCGCACACCCGCTCACTCGCTCACACTCGCTCGCTCGCTCGCACACTCACACGCACGCCGGGCCCACCCCGGGTCGCTGCGGATCGGGAGGCAGGCAGGCCCCCTCGCCCCCACGCACTCCGGGGCATCCCCACCCACACCCACGTCTCTGTGTGTGTTTTTTTTTTTGCCCAGAAAAAAGTGTAAATAAAGCCTCGCTGCCCCCAATGAGGCGTTCCTTCCCGACTTTTTTGGATCAATCAAACAGACAGTGGCTTCTTTTGATTAAAGCCCAAATTGTCATTGGGCAGAAGCAATCATGTGACAGCCAATTCGGTCCAATTTCAACCTTGTCTCCATGAATTCAATAGTTTAATAGTAGCGCGGTCCCCATACGGCTGTAATCAGTGAATTAGAAAAAAAACACCCCAGCAGCGATCGTCTATGATAGATTTTTTTTTTGCCTCCCCCTTCCGCACTCGCCTTTTTCCCGGGCCTCGCCCCCCCAAGGCCCCTCCAGAAGAGGGAACTTTTTCTCTCCGAGGGGGCTCCAAGGAGAAGGCCATGAATTACGAATTTGAGCGAGAGATTGGTTTTATCAATAGCCAGCCGTCGCTCGCTGAGTGCCTGACATCGTTTCCCCCTGTCGCTGATACGTTTCAAAGTTCATCAATCAAGACCTCGACGCTTTCACACTCGACACTGATTCCTCCTCCTTTTGAGCAGACCATCCCCAGCCTGAACCCGGGCAGCCACCCTCGCCACGGCGCCGGCGGCCGCGCCAAGCCGAGCCCCGCGGGCAGCCGCGCCAGCCCCGGGCCCGCCGGCGCCCCGCAGCCGCCCGAGTACCCCTGGATGAAGGAGAAGAAGGCGGCCAAGAAGCCCGCGCCGCCGCCCGCCTCGGCCGCCAACGCCGCCGCCGCCGGCCCTGCCTGCCTCGGCCACAAAGGTCAGTCCGCAGCCCGGGCTCCCCCCGCCGCCCGGACCCCGCTCCCCGCCGGGCGGCCCGGAGCGGCTCTGGGGCGGGGGCGGGAGCCCGGGGGCCGGGAGCGCAGGAGGAGAGACGCTTGGCTGCCTTCCCTTCCTCTGCGGGCTCGGCAGCGGGTTTGACGGAGAGGAGAGGCGTCCTGCGTGCGCCCCACCACGAGAGACACCCATATATTTTTTAGAGAAGCGTGGGGAGGGCGGGGGGAGGAGGAGGAACTTTCCCTAACTTGTGTAACGTGGGATGATTTATTTGAGTTGGAACTGACCTCCTCTTGTCTCGATGTCCTAGAGTTTGGCTTTTTGACAGTAATGAAGAGTGATAGATCGCTCCCGCTCAGCTAAGCAGCTGATGCATTAATTATAAATTGCGGTGTGGCTAATATAAAGTTTGCTCCCGGATGGAGAGGTTGGGGGGGGGGGTGGAGATCTGCAGGCGGGGATGGGGCGGAGGTGGGAGAGATGGGGCGTCCTCCCCCATCCCCGGGCCGGGCTCCCGGGACGGGCGGCAGCACAATGGCCCTGCCGCAGCCAGGGGCGGCCATCTTGTGGCCGCTGCTGTCCTCCGCTGTGTCTATGGATGGTCCCCCCGTGGACTAGCCCCGCGCGGGCCCCTCCGCCTCCAACCGCGTGTGTCGTTGGTCCCCTCCCCGCAGAGGCGCCGGAGGCGGCGGAGGGCGGCGGGGCGCGCCGGCTGCGGACCGCCTACACTAACACGCAGCTGCTGGAGCTGGAGAAGGAGTTCCACTTCAACAAGTACCTGTGCCGGCCGCGCCGCGTGGAGATCGCCGCCCTGCTGGACCTCACCGAGCGCCAGGTCAAGGTGTGGTTCCAGAACCGGCGCATGAAGCACAAGCGGCAGACGCAGTGCAAGGAGAACCAGCACGGCGGCGGCGAGGGCCCGCTGAAGGGCCTGGAGGACGCGGACAAGGCGGAGGAGGACGAGGAGGAGGAGAAGGCGCTGTTCGAGCAGGCCCTGGGCGTCTCGGGGGCCCTCCTGGAGCGGGAGGGCTACGCCTTCCAGCAGAACGCCCTCTCCCAGCAGCAGGCCCCCAACGGACACAATGGCGACTCGCAGAGCTTCCCGGGGTCGCCGCTCGCCAGCAATGAGAAGCATCTGAAACATTTCCAGCACCAGTCGTCGCCCACTGTTCCCAACTGCCTGTCAACAATGGGCCAGAACTGCGGCCCGGGCCTGAACAATGACAGCCCCGAGGCCCTGGAGGTGCCCTCTTTGCAGGACTTCAGCGTGTTCTCCGCGGATTCCTGCCTGCAGCTTTCGGACGCCGTGTCGCCCAGCTTGCCCGGCTCCCTCGACAGCCCTGTAGATATCTCGGCTGACAGCTTCGACTTTTTTACAGACACACTCACCACAATTGACTTGCAGCATCTGAATTACTAAAAACATTAAAGCAACACAAAGCATCACAAAAACAAAAACACAAAAGCCCCTTTGACCAGGTGGTTTGGCCTTCTTTTTATTCTGAGAGTTGATTTTTTTTTAATTTTTATTTTTCTTGACCTACCCTCGTCCTCCTCTCAATGGTGAAGATTTTCTGTTTAGTGAGTCCCCTCTGACCCAGTTTCAGAGGTGTCTTTTACAGGGTATTTTGGAGTTCTACTTGTTTTAAAATCTAACCCAACAACCCCCTGTGTGATTTCCCGAAAGCAATATATGAGGCCTGCAAGAAAGTGATCGTACAATCGTATCACTTTCTTTTTATTTTTGTATTACATTAGGATGCATTGTCATGCGTATTTTTGGTAGAATAAATTGTCCTTTGCTATAAGCAGCTTTCTTATTTTTTTTTTCCTCCCCCCTCTTTCTCAAAGCTCCTAATGGTTTCTTTTTCTTCTTTTAGTCTAACTTGGTAAATAAAATTCTGGTCACAATTGATCTTCTTTTTCAATTTTAATATATTTATTAAGGGGGCATGTTCAAAATTTTCTATAGACAGCATCAGAAAAGAAATCCAGAAAATGGTTAGGGCACCTGAGAAGTGTTTCTTCCTTCCTTCCTTCCTTTCTTTCTTTTTCTTTCTTTCTTTCTTTCTTTTTTTTTTTTTTTTTTTTTTTAGAGGAATGGATTTGTTTTTTTCATTGTAGAGGCTCAAGCCACAGATTTAACGTGGTCATAGAAACAGGATTGGAAAGCCTCAGAGGTGGGCCCAGCCCAAGCTTTTGAAAGTGGAGAAATAAAGTGCCTACAGAAACCCCCAGCTCCAGGGACATGGACTTTCTTTCAGGTCAACAATTCATTTATTTATACACGTTTGTTTCAAACATCTACATTCCACCCCTCCCCCACCAATGGCGGACATTTCTAGTGTGGTTGATTAGTCTCCCAGCTGCTGATGGGTCCAGCAAACAGTCCTAAAAGAGAGAAGGGGGGAGAAAAACAAAACAACAACATAAACAAAATGACGGTCACTAGCTGGACAATACACATCAGAAAGGCTTCTTTCCAAAATCCTCTGGCTCAGCCATTCCAGGACTCCCTTTTTATTTTTTTTGCAGGGTCAGAAAAAGAAAAAATCAATATATCATTCTTAAATCTGTTTATATGGCAAATAATAGAGCATTAAAGCTTTGCAGTCGGGTGAGCACGTTGAGATGGAGAAGCAAGTGTTTTTTCTGCACCCTGGGTTACACATGAACTGGTCCAGAAAGAGCAAGAGTACAAGCACTTTAAATGAAATATCAATAAAATGTGAACTGGGGTTGTTCCTGGGTTGTTCTGTTGCCCCCCCACACCCCCACCTCGTGTCTCCCCATCCACGTATGCTGTTCTCTTGCTGAGCTCCGTGCTGGTGGCCACTCAACGTGAGAACACCCAGCGCCTAAGCAACATGTGTGGGGGCGGGCTGATTTCAGAGCCCGGCTCTCACCAGCGCGGGCTGGTAAGTTATGATGAAATCGGGATCTTCCTCCAGGGGTTTGCTCCCTACCTGCCCCCCCCCACCCCTTTTGCCTCCTAAACCCCGGCAGCGGCCGGTGAGGGCCGGCGGGTTTGCTGCCCTCCGCGGCGCGGGGCTGCCCGGCAGTGGCCTGGGCTGAGCCTCCGCCGCCTGCGCTCCGTCCTGCGCCCATAAATCAAACGCTTTCCATGAATGAGAATGTCATCAGAGAGATCAATTGCAGGAACACATGCACAAATAAAAATCCTCTTACGTATTTGCCGGGGATCCCCGTCCGAAAGCATTAAGTTAGAAGGCGTTTGGTCATAATTCATTTTTATTGCTCTTTTAAAACTACGGCGGGGCCGAGCCGCGGTGCCAGGAGCCGCTCAGGCCTGGGCGGGCGGCGTGTGTCGGCTCCGCGCCCTGCCCCTCCCGTGCGGAGCCCGCAGGAGGCCGGGCCGCTGGTCACCTCGCAGGGACGCTTCCCCGGCGCTTACAGGGTCTTGGGCTCGAGGCCGGGCGCTGGCTCCTGCGGGGGAATGGGGTCCCGGCCCGGCGGGGTGAGCCCGGGATCCGGGGGCGGGGAGGGCCGGCGCTCCGGAAGCCCGCGGGCCGCGGCCAGGAGGCTCTTTGTGCGCGGCCGGGGCACCGGGCGCCGGACCTGCGTGGAGCCGGTGGCCCATGGGCCAGGGCCAGCCTGCGATCCCAAGAAATCACCCACCCCAACCGGCCTGGAAGAGGCCGCAGGCAGGGAGGGAGGGCAGGGGAGCAGAGAGGAGGCCGGCGGGGTGCCCGGACGGCTTTGTGGCACCGGCCGCGCGGCCCAGGGGGTCGCGTAAACCCGGGGCCTGGGAGGCCCACTAAGGGGCAGGGAGGAGGCCGAGGGGCAGACGTACCCACGAGCTCCGAGCTCCGGCTGGGAGAGCAGATCGCCGGCGCAATGCCAGCACAACCCCCTCCCCCCAGGTCCCGCCTCCTCCCCGCCGGAGCCCCTTCCCTCCCCGGCGCGGCCGAGGAAGCCTCCTCCGGGAGGGCCGCCGGGCCTGCTCCCTCCTCCGGGATGACTCTCCCGGTGCTGAGATGGGGGCAGAGTGACTCGGCCTGCCTGAGCTCCCGCTTCACCGTGATGGGGGATGGGTCAAAGGTCACATAAAATCCCTTTCAAATGTTTAGGGGAATTTATTTTTTCCTACTGAAGGGAGTCTATAGTCAAATGTCTGCAAGTTTCCCCTCTTGGGGGCGGGGCAGGTTCTGGGGAAACCTCTCTATGTGGAGAACAGAACGCAGAGACCTGAAAGGTTCACGAATACCTTTGAAATGTGCCTGCCTAAAGCAAAACTTCCTTCTCCTAGCCCCCCCCCCCCCATACAATCCTCAGTTAATTTTTTTTATCTGTCGGACTCGGATGAGGTAAACATGGTCAGAGCATAAATCTATACACCCGTGGCTGCAAAGCTTCCCGGATGCTCTCTGGGTTTCTTGTGCCCAAGAATGCCATCAATTCCCGGCCTCTGCTTGGCCTTTTCTCTCTAGAAGCCAAGGGTTGACACGAAACCTAATAGTAAACAGCAATTAACGGCCCGTCAGCATCGGGGAAGGCGGAGGGTGACGGAGCACAGGACCCCTGGCCCGGGATGCCGCTCAGCCCCGCACTGTCTCTCTGGGGGAGGACTCCGGGCTCCACACAGGAACTAACCCGCAGCCGTTACCGAGCAGCGGGGCTGGCGCTGGGGGAGAAGATGTCCCATCCACCACCGGCCATCTGTCCGCCCCTCCCACCTGCCAGCCCAGCCCCCCCGCGGACAGGCTGTAGAATGGGGGAGGGAAGGGGCTGAATAAAGGAAGCTCTACAAACTCCGCCCTAAGAAAACGGGGGAGGGGGGATCAGCGTACTTTGTGGGAGCTGTGGCCTCTCCTCTGAGCCCCCCCAAAAGCGCAGGCTCCGGGGCCGGCAGATGGCCCGGCCCCCACGCGGCCACGTCTGCAGCGTCACCCCCTCCCGCCTCCTGCCCCTCAAAATCCCGCCGCTCCGGGTCCGGGCTCCCCAGCACAGCCCGTGGGGAGGAGCAAGGGGCGGAGAGCAGAGGGAGGGAGGCGGGAGCCCGCCAGCCCGGCCTTTCTCGGCTCCTCCGCTTCCAGGGCTCCCGGCCGCGGGGCGTCAGGTTACAGAAGCTCCTCGGCCCCGAGGCTCCGGGTGGGGGAGGAGGGGGGGTCGGGGCCTCGGAGACCCTGGTGCAGAAGGGAAGTTTCTCTCCTGGCCTCTGTCTCCCCCACCCCCGCCGGTCCCTCCCAGCCAGCCCCCTGGGAAGCGGCATCCTCCCTGGAGCGCTGCACCCCCAGCCGCCCGGGCACCGCCGGGGGTCAGAGCCGGGCCCGCTCCCGGGGGGCCCGGGCCCCGATGCCGGCTGGGGTCCGGCCCTCCCTGCTCACCCCCCCCCCCGAACTCCCCCCCACGGAGTCCCCACCCGGGAGCGCCCGGAGCCCTCTCCCCTTCTCACCTCTCGCCAGTTCCTCTCTCCGTGCCGGCGGGGAGGGGGCTGCCCGGGGAGGGAGGGGTGCTCCCCAGCCCCCGCCTCCCGGATTGGGGGGCGGGGGGAGCGGAGCAGGAGACACAGCCGCTGCTCCCTTCGCCCCGGCGCTGGCATCTGCCCTGCAGCCGCCCGGGCCGCCTGGGGGGGCGGCCGCGCGTCCCCGGCCGCAGCAGCGCCGGGATTTAAATGCCACCGACGCCGCGATCCATCACGGCGGGGCCGCACGCTCCCGCCGGAGGCCCGCCATTGGCTGCCGCGGTCACGTGGCCCCGGGCGCCCCCGCCCCCCCCCCCCCCCCGCGCACTGTACATTCATATCATTTTTCTTCCCCGGCCCCATGGAGGGAGGGAGAAAGTTGGCACGGTCACCCAGGGCTGCTCCGCGGACCCGGCCGCTCCGTGACGGATGGACAGCGCGGGCATGAGCTCCTTCCTGGACTTCCCCGTCCTCGGCGGCGGCGGCGGCGGCGACCCGGGGGCCTGCGCGGCGCGCGCCTACCCCGCGGACCCCGGGATTACAACTCTGCCGTCCTGCGCCGTCAGTGCCAGCGGCTGCGGCGGCGACGACCGCTTCCTGGTGGGCAGGGGGGTGCAGATCGGCTCGCCCCACCACCACCACCACCACCATCACCCCCCGCAGCCGGCCGCCTATCAGCCTCCCGGGAACCTGGGGGTGTCCTACCCCCACGCGGGCTGTGGTCCGGGCTACGGGGCGCAGAACTTGGGCGCGCCCTACAGCCCTTACACGCTGAGCCAGGACGCAGAAGTAAGTGCGGGGTACCCCTCGTGCGCCCCCGCCGTGTACTCTGGAAACCTCTCATCTCCCATGGTCCAACATCACCACCACCACCACCACCAGGGTTATGCCGGGGGCGCGGTGGGATCGCCTCAGTACATGCACCACCACTCATACGGACAAGAGCACCAGAGCCTGGCCCTGGCCGCCTATAGTAACCCCCTGTCCCCTCTCCACGCCAGCCACCGCGACGCCTGCCGCTCCCCCGCGCCCGACACCTCTCCGGCGCAGACCTTTGACTGGATGAAAGTCAAAAGGAACCCTCCCAAAACAGGTCAGTCATGCTCCCTGATGATTCTGGAAGGACTTAGTATGCCAGGTTTCCAAGGGAAATTAATAAATTGAAAATGAATAAATAAGAAGCCTGGCTGCCCAGCGGTGTCGCAGGGCACTGGGGGGAGTTGCCCAGGTGTGTAGGGGGGCAGAGGAGCCTCTGGGACTGTTTCCAGAGGGACTGGGATGGAGGGGTCCTGGAAGTGGGAAGCGGGTGGGTGGGTGTGCGCGTGGGGCTGTTCCGGTAAGATCTCTGGGCCCCATTAATCACCGGTCTGGCCACACGAATGGCTGACTTCAGATGAACACTTTACACCTCATCACTCACCCTCCCCAGCCCGGGGTGCGTGTGGAGAAGTTCTCCATCTCCCCTTACCTGGCTATTGCTCTGAGCCTCCAGGGGCTCTCCTGTGGATTGTTGAGTATTTACCCCTTTCTCTCGTCGCTTCCCCCCAGGAAAAGTTGGAGAGTACGGCTACGCCGGCCAAGCCAACGCGGTGCGCACCAACTTCACCACCAAGCAGCTCACGGAGCTGGAGAAGGAGTTTCACTTCAACAAGTACCTGACCCGCGCCCGCCGCGTGGAGATCGCCGCGTCCCTGCAGCTCAACGAGACGCAGGTGAAGATCTGGTTCCAGAACCGCCGCATGAAGCAGAAGAAGCGAGAGAAGGAGGGCCTCCTGCCCATCTCTCCCGCCACCCCGCCGGGCAGCGAGGAGAAGGCCGAGGAGTCCTCGGAGAAGTCCAGCTCGTCGCCCTGCGTTCCCTCCCCGGGCTCTTCTACCTCCGACACGCTGACTACCTCCCACTGAGGCCGGCCCAGCCCCAGACCCCGCGGCCCGGGCTCCTTCCTCCTCCTCCTCCTCTTCCTCCTCCTCCTCGGGCCGGGACTTTTTACTCAGAGCACATTCTTAGCTTATCTTCCTTTCCATTCGCAGTCTCTCTCTTTCTGATCCCATCTGGGCCGCTCCTGGGCAGGATAATGCATTTACTGAGAGTTCTGGACCAGATGTTCGATTGGGGAGGGAGGGGTGTGTGTGTTAACTTCTTAACGCAGGTGGGGTGCCGGCACCCGTTTTCTGAGGGTCCCCCATTTTAGGAGAGTTCCGAGGAACCTACTGTTCCTTTTAGGTGCCCTTTGGAAAATTGCCTCCTTTGCCCGCAGAAACATGTCAAAGGGAGGCCTGCCACCTTTTATCTGTCTGTATATTTACGGATCTCCCCTACTTGGTCCTCAGAATGGGGTGAAGAGAAAGGAGAGAGTCCAGGAGCTCATGAAGAAGAGATGCACTAATGAGCGTGTTTACACAATGAATTAATTCACTTTTAATTTAATTCCTCCTCGTGTGTGAGTTTGCTGGTTGTAAATACTTTGTCCCGAGAGATTTATCTTTATACAGATTTTCTAGAAATGTTTAGATTAAGTGATTCAAACAGGGTGGGCAAACTCTCGAAGCTGGTACAATTTTATATGCGGTGAAAGGTTACAAAATTAAAGCCCTCACTTAAACTCAATCAGATGCCTCGGAGGGTAGCCTCAATGTGTTCTTTCAGTGAGTGAAGAAGGCCTGCAGACCACAAGGTTCAGAAACCTTGCTGCCTGGGCTGAAGTCTCTCCCCATCCCCAGCCCCTTCCTTGTTTCTCTGGCCATACGCTATGTAAACTTGTGCTGGATTATTCGGAACCTTGAGGTATTAGTGAAGCCAGCTTCTTCCTTCCTCAGTTATCTTAGCTGGATATGATGTATTTTCAGCTCAATTGTTAATGTGATGGATGGCACAATGAATGTATATTTTGTGTGATTCATGAATAGTCTTTTGCATGTCGCACAATGTGTTGATGTCCCTGAAGTACCACACTGAGTTCTATCAGTTATCCCTTGTGAGCCTATGGTATTCCCCATTTCCTGTACAATCATGAACAGCTCTGAGTGATGTGATCCAGAGCAGAGTTTACGGGTCTTAAGATGTCTGTAATAAATATATTCAACTTTCAGGTATGTTTGAGGATCCGTGTATTTGGCTTGGCTGCAGTTCGTTGGTTCTTACAAAGTTGAGTCATTTTGTGTGGAGAAGGAGAGAAGGACAGTGTGTATTTTCAAAGAGATGGGACTTTTCTTTGAAAAAAAAAAAGTGCTTTCCACTATGTAATTGAAGCTTCCTCTAAGAGTGTAATTGCATCTAACCAATGGCTATCATAGGTTGGTTTTTCTTTAAAATAACGGTAGTCCCCTTATTATAATCAAAGTTCATAATGGAAAAATGGTGAAGAATTTCATAAAGCAGATCTATTTTTGAAACAAACATGGGTACTTCCTGGGTCAAGTGCTAACCTTTTCACCTCCAGCTGAATGTTGATGTATGTATAAACAGAACCCCCTTCAAAAGCTGCAACTCTTCAGTCAGTCTTTCCTCACATCAGTGAACCAAGAACTAAGAGATTCACATTTAATTAGCTCCAGTATCAAGCTATTCAAGGATGGGGACCCCACCCCAACACTCCACCCCACCCCACCCTTCTCCCTTCTTTCTGGATTGTCAGCGCTCCAATGTATTCCACCCTTTATACGGAGTGCGGTCTGTTTTCAGTAGACATCACAGCCCTCCTCCCATTCTTCCTGTTTCTCTACCCCTTCCTGCCACCCTCCACGTCCTACCATCCCCTCCAAGTCACACATCTCATCCCCACCACATTAAGGTTTGATTTCATAGCCATCTTGGGTATAATGGGTCTTGTCACAAACCCCTGGAAAATAGGAGTGACTTACTTCTCTGAGCTCAACAGGTTCCTTCAGGATAACCTGTGGAAGCAAGCCGCCCGGAAATCTCTCACTGTTCAAGTTGCTTCCAACCAAGACATGTGTGTCTCCATCAAAGGAAGCCATCAGAGAGGTCCGCATGGCTCTCCTACACTGCTTACCCATTTTCCTTTACTTTCACACCATTTTAGAGGCTTTCACTTAGCCCCAGAGCGGAGCAGAACGTTTGCAGCATCACAAACAAACACAGACCTAGGACTTCCTTCCTCTCCAAAGGCTGTTTTACAAAGGATGGGCTGGGAGTCTGGTGGGGGAGAATCCTACAAAAACTTGAAATTCACAGGCCTCCTGGAGCACCTATGAGATTTCCTGTTTCTCCGGGCAAAGGGGGAAAGCCTGGCTTTGCAGGCGCAGTGGCTGCGGCCATATCAAGGGCACCCTGTGCCCTCCCTGGGCTCTGGGGTTCTGGGGCGGCTTCTGAAAGATTCAAGTGGATGGGTGAGAACTTCAAAGTGAGCCAACTCTTTCTTTCATCCCCCCCTCCCCATACAGTATCTTTTGTTTATTAGTGTAAGGCCACACAGCAAAACAGATGGCTGATTTCCAAATACTTTAATGTGTTAAATTGTCATTTGCATGCCACTGCCGAGATTTCAATATCTAAAAGCAGGGCCCCACGTGCTGGAATCCTGGAGATTCCAATCTTTAAGGTACTGGTTTTAATGTGTGTGTGGGAGAGAGAGAGAGAGAGAGAGAGAGAGAGAGAGAGAGAGAGAGAGAAGACGATAAATTATGGCTAAACATCCCAAGCCTTTTTCTAGGTCGTGGAATAAATCAGTTAATAAGCAACATATTTAGGAAACATTAATATACCTTTCAACAAGAAAAACATTTGTATCTTTGTAGTTGTCCCAATCGATTAAATCAAAGACGCTTAACACATCCTATTTCAAGGTCTCTCTTTTTCTGTTTTGGTCTCTGAGGAGCAGAGTTAGCATCTTGAAAAATGACAGTTAGGGTAACTGAAACGACAAAAGAGGAAAAACAGAAAATGACATTTTGTTGATAGATTTAAAAAAGGACAAGCGTCTCAGTTAGGGACTCGGGATAAAGACACTATAAAATTCCAGTTTTCAAATGTTTTCTCCTCTCTCTGCTCACATCACATTTAAAATAATCCCCAAATTTCGGGAATCCCCAGACTAGGCTGTGTGCTGTGCTGAGTTCCCGCAGTGGCTCCGAAAGTCTCGGCTTCACCTTTGAAAGTTTACTTTGGGAGGCTATTCAGATGCTGTGGTGTTTTCCTCTGGGGCAATCAGATTCAAACCGATCAATATTTACTCAGTCTGAAAGGGTTGTTGAAAAGGCTGCTAACAACAAACTGCTTAGCTGCTCACCCCTGTTTAATCTCAGGTTCACCGAAAGTTCAAGAAGAGATGAATGCAGTGATGGGTCACTTTAGAATGAGTCCCAGCGGTTTATCTGAGCTCTCCGCTGAAGGCAACAATTATAGTTCCATCCCTCTCTGGGCAAGGGGCAACTTTCCTATTATTCTTTTGCTAAACAGTGTTTACTAGAAAGTTAAAGCACTTTCATCTCCCTTCCTGGCTCTTTTTTTGGGGGAGGGGGGAGCGGAGCTTCCAGCTCCTCCTCTTGCCTCCTCCTGTTAGCTTTCTGCCAATTCACTCAGTTTCATTGGACTTAAAATAAATTACATTGAATATTTAAAAAACATTAAATTAGCCTGACAGAAGGGATCCGATTTATTTCAGATGCCACAAGCTATGAAATGAAGCTCTTTGGGCCATTAAAGTATTTCTTCTTTTCGAAAGGACCGGGCAAGATTGAATTGAAATCCATTTGTGTTTGAGTAATATCGACAATCGGAGCCCCAATATCCATCCGCAATGGCTGTTTAGACAGGAGGGAGGCGAAGAGGGGGAACTGAACTGCCGAAGCAAATACCTCCGGTGGAAAGTCAACTTTAAAATCTTACACTCTCCCGTACCCGAATGACTGAGATGAAAAAGGAAGCCAGTGGGGAATGGCGAGGGAAAATGCTGGACACTGAAGCTAATTGCTACAGCTCTCCAGAGGTCAAAGTTCATGTAATCACTGCATAAATGCATACTAAATAGGGAGTTATTAAGCTTTTCTGATGGCTGAGCACGTCTGTGAAAACAAAGCAAAACTGGTCATTGCTGTTCGTGTTTCTTCCTGAAGAATAATCTATTTTTGCGGTAGAAGCTTTAGGAGTCTGAGTCTTTAATTTACTATTTTGAATGATAGACAAACCTTGTTTTAAAAATTTGAAATTGGCACATTGCAACATCTTTCTTTATATTGGATGGGACGGTAAAATATGGCTCTTAACTCTCAGAAATGCTGTCGCTTTTTCAATACGCACCACCAGGACACAAGTTAACAAGTCCCTATCAGATAAACTACTCACTAGTTTGGTGACCCTCTGCTGTAGATAAGCCTATATTTTGCCTAACTTTCATCCCCTCCCCCTTGAGTTCTGAGAGAACATAATAGTGCTTCCATAGGACTACTTATATCTGGATGCTCAGAACTGGAAAGGACCCATTACCCCGCCTCTTATTTTATGAATCAGAAAGACAAGGCATCCGGCGGATGGGTCTGAATTGGAGCCCATGGTAAAACCAGGGGGCTTAGGACCCGAGGCCAATACAGCTCTGAATTCTGAACTCCGGATTTGATTTTGCCCTCTCTCATTCATTCTGTGTGACCTACTTCAGGCTGGATATTGTTTATGTTTTTCCTCTTCTGGTTTACTAGCCAAGACCTCTATTCTGAGGCCACCAGGATTACTGAATCCCAGTTGAATGTTTCTGCCATCTTGTTTGAGCAATCCAATGTTGGGGTACTTGCTGTTAAAGACGTATGTCCTTAAAATATGAAGGCAGAAATAGAGCAGGTAAGATTCAACACATACATTTGTTGTTGTTTTTAACTACAGATGGGGAGAATAAATGAGAGAGAAGTTGCCTGCACCCAAGTTCAACCTCCATTAAATTGTCAAGAGGTAT